GAATAGGAGAACAGAGGACTCTATGGAAGTCAATAAAAAATAGGCGAGATAGGTTGGTAGGACACCTTCTCAGGCATGAAGGTCTAGTCAGAGACATATTAGAGGCAGAAACATGAGCTAAAGGCGATAGAGGTAGAACAAGATTAGATGTAGGTGCAGCGGAAAAGAAAAGGTTAGAAGCGTTCCAAATGTTGTGTTAGTGGAGAATGATGAGGATACCGTGGATAGAGAAGGTTAGAAATGAAGAGGTATTAGAATAAATAGGAGAACAGAGGACTCTATGGAAATCAATAAGAAATAGGTGAGATAGGTTGGTAGGACACCTTCTCAGACATGAAGGTCTAGTCAGGGACATATCAGAGGCAGAAACGGGAGTTAGGAGGAGGGGTAGAGATACACCTAGATTAGACTTCTGTTCGCAAATGATTAAGGATGTGGGTTGTTCTAGTTTTAGGGAAATGTAAAGATTAGCTTAGGATAGGAAAGATTGTGGATGTACGTGTCCAACCAGTCTTAGGATTGACGGCCTTATGGTGATGGTAGTTTGATAATTCTGTCTCACCCTACAACATTTCTTGGTTCTGGCAGTACTTCGGATTCCTTCACTTCAGGTTTTACTACAACATTCTCATCTTCACCCATTCCGTCTTCACCGCCTTCGGAGGCCATCACTTCGGAACCCTTAGCGCGAAGTGCTTCCTGTCTTATAGTTTCCACTTTGATAGAGAACAATATGAAATCGGAAAACTTAAACGATTCCGCCATTTCCCTTTTGGTCTTGTTGTAAACGATTCGCTTGACCAGGTGCTCCAGATTCTTGAACCTGGCGAACATGGCCATGCCCTTGTTATGCGGACCTTCGCTCAGTCCCACCTCGTTGTTACCGTAGGAGTCGAAGAGGTAGTACAGGTGATTTTTAAAAAATACAGCACACGAATAGTACGAGGTGACGATCAACCCAATCTCGTATTTTGAGAATAACCTATGGGCGAGCGCTTTCTCCACACCGATGTCAGAAAATTGACCATCGAACAGGTAGTCCACGAACACCCTATAATTATCTTTCCCTTTTGGGAACAAATGACGCCAGTAAATTAATATCGGATATTTCTAAAGGATTATTGTTACCTAGCGATATTTTTGGGATCTCAAATTTGGGAGCCTGTTCGAACCTCACGTTGGCGAGTTCGTACAATGCCAGGCCGCCCGTAAGAACATAATCGACTAGATCAGATGACCAAGTGCTTATTGAGTATTTTTTGGCAACGGCTGCTGCTATGATGCAAACGTACGGAGCCGTGTTGTCCACTTCCTTTCCAAGGTCTGCAATATTCTGCGTGCCTCTGATCAGTTGACTGTCGTCAGGAAGTTCTATGAAGTTGTTTTCTTTGAGCAGTTCCTCTTCCATTGTGACTTCCGGTTCTGGTAGCGGTAGATCGGAGGTAAGTCCAGCACCTGCTTTCTGCAGTTCCAGGCATCTCTTCATCGCTTTTTTGGCCAGTACATTCGTCGGTTTCAGCACTTTATGAGAAATTGGAAGGAAAGCCGCCGTTACTTCGGTGTTCACCTGGACGGACATGAAGAAGAGATGACATTATTATGATTGTTTGTACATTTTGACGCGAACTATGGCACAAACCATCTGCGATATTCTACTGTGGTAGCTGTCCAAGGATTCGGGATGGACTTGGGCAAACTCGTTCATGGCCAAGTAGGTGTTGTCCAACTCGTCCATGTCTTCACCTCCCTCGCCTTCACCTTCTCCTTTGCCACACCTTCCACCTCCTTCGCCTTCCCCTTCACCTTCAGGTACTTCTATCATTTCTATTTCTTCTTGGGTTAATACGAAGGAGTCCAGGTCCAGTAGAGTGATTTCTTCTAGACACTTATCAGGAACGGGACGTTGGGGTTCGATCTGTGGCAGTGGAAAATTGATTGGTAAATGTGTAGTGTGAATAATAGTTTAAGGTGAAACCTGAGTATCTGATAGACTTGGAGAATCAAGGTCCACTACATCTGCATATTCAGCCATTTTGGTTGGCGGTAGTTTCTTGAGGACGTGGCAAGGCTCAAAGAGACAAGGTAGTTGCTCTTTCGTTAAACTGTCCACGTCACTAGAAACTTCCTGCAGAGATGGTTCAGGAGATTCTCCAGGTAACAATCTTTTTATAGACGTTTGCGTTAGGTCAATTGTAACGGGCTTCTCGGTGGCTTTTTTCTTGCTTTTCTTCATTTTGTACTTCTTCAACGTTTCTGGAGAGATATCGTCCATCTTCGTAGTTTTTGGAAATATCCTGGCCATTGCGGGGTCTCGATGAATTTTAAGGACTTTCAAGGCGTGGATATAGAAGATGTAGGCGTTATCGGGAAAGTTATTGGAAATGGTTTGAACGAGAGTTTCCAGGTCCGCATTCATCGACACACATCCCATGCCATTCCTGCAGTTCATGGCCTGATTGTTTCTGGAATATGGATCGAAACAGTAATACATGTTACGCTGTTGCCAAACGGCCAGGGTAAATTTTCCTATTTGAAGGACGGCGTTGGTATTTTTACTGAAGAAGCAATCAAGGGCTTCCTCCAAGACACATTTGCCTTTCTTGTACATCACGTCAACGATTCTGTTAGCGTATAAGAATATTTCAACTAGATAAGGACCTATGGTGAAGAGAGCCGGTAGACTATCTATAGTCATCTCCATTATCAGCTCCTGTTCGGCGCATTCCAGATACAGTTGGTTACCTATGATCATTATCTTGTCGATGGTTCTCCTGTGCCAGGAATTGGGAGGAGTTATTCGGGAATAGACCAGTGCAATTACTGCCATCGTAAGGGACTGCTTGTTCCTTGAAAACCCGAAACATTTGTCTGCTAAATCAAAAGAACCCTGGACGACTGCTTTGCTGGGACTGAGGATGTTATACTGGCTTCCCTCTTTAACGTCTTCCTCGTCTTCTTCTTCGTATAATTTTAATTTTTTCATCACGCTTACTTTCGATATTAGGAAGGGCCAGTTCCCCAGTTCGCTCCTGTCAAGAAATACAGTTACCAGGGATGCGATATCGTAAACTATGGTTAGAGTAGCGTTTCCGTTTTTATCGGGGAACAGGTCCTTCGTCCTGGGCCTAGCGTCGAACAGGTAAAAATATTTGTCCTTCCAAATCATCACGTCTAAACCCAGAGTTTGGAAGACGCCGGCATGGTTTTCAGCGAAAAATACTTGCAAACCTTTGGTCACATTGTAGACATTCTTTTCGACAGACCTCACCAGTCCAGACACGTAAGGCTCCTCGATCACGAATCTATACTTGTCGTCTCCAATGTAGATGAACTTGTGCAAATCGGGAGGTTTAAGTTCACGTGTGGTATCGTGGAGATGCAAATTTTCGACACTGTCCAGGTACAGTTTGTTTCCGATTTCTAATATAATTCCGATGGTTTGTTCCGTCCATCTGCTTGGGTGTAATTCTGTGGCAAAGCAGTAGGCCGCTGCAGCCATACAGATGCCTTGATTGTTACGACTTACATCAGAGAAATGCTCATCTCCTAGAAGACAAAAATATTATCGTATAAACGGAGAGGTTTTTTCTAGCATATTGGTTGTTGGTTTTGTGTGAAGATGTAGCATGAATAGAATACCTTGATGAATATTTCCGTATACTACCCCATAGTAGAACTCTTTTAATGTTTTCTGTTCTATCTTGGTGAAGGAATGGCTTTCCAGGGTTCCCCTTTTCACTTTTCTCTTTGGTTTCTTGTACCGTTCTAATTCCGAGTCTCTTCTAAACTTTTGTAAAACCCTATCGATGAAAGGGCATTCTTCCAGTTCAAAGTCAGGAGAGACTTCGAACCCCATGAGCTCCTTTTCATGCAGGGACGTACTTTTTGAAACCTTTGGGATCATAATTTATTACGTTCCACGTTTAAACGAGGAATTTTACACGAACCTGTGAAACCTGTTTCCTGAACATTCTTGTAAGATAGGTCTCTTCGATGGGCTCTAATATTTCTGCACCCTCGCCCTCGCCCTCACCAAATTGTCTCATTAATTCTTCTTCTTGTTTAAGGTAGGCTTCGACTTTTATGAAATATTTTCATTAAGGGGTTAGGGGTAGGAAATTTTATAAAGAGAATTGCGTATTATACGTATACTTACTTGCATCCTTATCCATAGCTGAAAAAATGGTTTAATAAGTATTTATTTAGCATCTCTGGTAATTTTTATCATTTCGCAGTAATAAGTAATAATCGTTAGTCTCATTAGAGCTATAATTGTTAATGAAAGAAAAATGAAAATGAGTTGCGAAAAAGTTACTTTTCAAAAAAAAATAAAAGTTTCTTTAATTAAAGACAAATGAAAAAACTCGTTCCATTATTAGGTATTTAAATAACATTTAATTTGTATTGATGCAGGTTTTCGAATAAGTTTTAATTAACTTTGCACGAATGATTAATTATAACGTTAACTTTAGACAGGTAATGTGTTTGTGCTTTCCAAAGGTCTTCTCCAGTATTAATTGTGGAAAGTGGAAAATCATTCAAAATAACTACATTGTTATACTCACCGTCTCCTCCTAAGTCGTAAGTTGCCACTAAAATCATGAAAAAATGTCTTAATAATATTTTATTGTTAATGTAAAAAGTACCTACATTCTTGTTCTTCGTCACCTAAAAAAGAGAAAATTTTTGGGAGTTTACTTTATTGATTTAAATGACGTAATATGTGAAAGCCCTATAAGTTAGTCTTAAGTAGGTTTTAGGCTTCCTTTTTATTTCTACCATAAAACAGACAAACAGGTTGAGTTTTGTAAATGTTTTTATGTAAGATGGTGATAATTTTATTGTTGAAAAAGTTTTGTAAAATTTTTATTGAATACCTTCGCCAATTTTTTTGTCGCCACCTGAAACAGAAACAAATATTTAATTCAACTGCAATTCTATTGACTTTGGTGTCTTAAAAAAATTCATTATTATCAATTTTCAAAACATGACTATTAACTACAGAGGAATTTTCATTAGTGTTGACATATGATAAATACTTGCAGTAAATAACATCAAACAAATTTGTTTAATACAATATATGTATGTAGGCACTTTTTTAAAGGTCAACTGAGGTATCGCATTGCAAAGAAAAAACTTTTAATTTGTGAACTTGATGTTTATTATTATATAGCGCATTTTTAGAGTGTTTCCGTTTTATTCTTTAGAATGGTAGTAATCCTAGTTAGCGTCTTTAAATGCTAAAAGAAAACCTTCGTCTTGTGTATGGTTAGATATTTGTTCCAGTAATATTCGGGTACCGCGAGGTAATCGCACGTATACTGGAAGGTACTTGGGATTGTAGATAATCTTCCTGTCAATCAAATTTTGTGGGGCAGGTATAAATAATTTATAATTAAACCTTGTAAAGTTTTTAACACAATTTACTAACATCACTTGCGAGGTTACGTTTGTATCAATCGACGATATATGGTATATTATGGATTCCCGTATCTTGGAAATCACATAATATATTAAAATTACTTATACTAGAAAAGAATATTGCGCTATCATCCCTGAAGTGAGGGAAAAAACGTAGTAGGTATACTTGCGGTAGGAATATGGTAAAAATTATTAATATGTTTAGGCGAAATTGATACCTATGGTAAAAGCATTCGATAAGGTAAATGTACAATGTCATCACCGAAGCAGAGAGTCATTTAGGCCCAGTGAAAATAGGCAAATCACGCAAAATCTACGCACTTGGTGCGTTTTAGTATGTTTTAGTTTTGATACCTATTAAGAAAATTTATCGATGATGAAAACGTTATTATTTTGAAAGTATTATATGCGCGTAATTCAAAAAAGTATTTACAAATACTTGGTTACTGGTTGATCCTAATATTATTAATGCGAATGAGTTTGTTTGTCTGCTACCATTTGAGGCCTTAACTACTGAACCGATCGTCATGAAATTTTGTACATATATTGTCGAGGGTATTGAAAAGGACATAGGGTACCTTTTATTCAGAAAAAAAAAAACTGTTCCCGAGGAATAAAAGAATTAGTTTTATGTGGCCATCGATGATTTTAGGACATGAAGGCGAACGAAGCCTCTGATAAAACCTAGTAAAACCTAGTAATCTAAAAATTTACTTTTGTCTCTCCTTTTTTTCTTTTTCTTTCTGTCGCCGGTTTCGCCTTCTTCAGCATTGGTCGCTGAAATTTGCCTCTTTTTCTTCTTCTTCTTCTTTTTCTTCTTTTGTTTGTTTGTCTTGCACGGTTTGTTCTCCTTCCCTGCTATTTCTTTTCTGAAAGCGTATTGAGTAGTTTGTGATAGGTTTTTGTTCTCGTTCGGACAACTTACTCGTATTGAGTCCGGGACTTTCCCGCCAGAATTAATTCGAAGCTAGACAACAAGTCGGCTTGTTGTTCTTTTTCGTTTATTATTATCTTACTGGTGGGCTCCCTCGACTTTAGATCATCGCGCTTCGGTGGTGTCGGATATATGTCGCTAGGGAAGAACGAAGGTTTTTGAGGTGTAACAACCTTGGCGTTTTTTATGGTTGGTGAATCTACTTTCATCTAGGATTTAAGACGAAAACACACATTACCTTATTCTTTTTTAAACGGTCTACACCCTGATATAACGTTTTACGTACCACCTGTTTAAGTTTTATTTCTGCCAAGGGTTGAGGGGCTTCGGTCTCCTTGAATTTACAAAAACGCAGCATTTTTATATACTCCGCCCGATTTATAGCCTTTTCCCATTTCAGGGATAGGGGTTCGGGGACTACGTACGTTCTCGGACGATCTTCTACGGGCGTTTCACCCCTTAAATGAACTTCGAAGCGTTTTCTGAACAGTTAAAAATTGGTTTAATACTAATTGTAAAATATTTTTGTCTTCGAGTTAGAATCTATAGGGTTGTTCGGAAAGTCATTTTTTTTTTTTGTGGAAAGGAAAGACAGTTTTCGTATAATAAACAAATACTTTATTAAATTATATATTGACCGTTCTGGTCCAACAGCTTTTGCCATCTTTCTGGTAGTAGCATAATTCCACGCTCATAAAATTTTTGGTCTTTGCTGGCAAAAAACTGATCGAGGAGGTTTCTGACCTCCACCTTTTTTTGGTGAATATTGGCTTTGGAAATGGTTTGAGCCGGTTCATCTTTTTTGCTCCATGACCTCTTGCGTTTGACGTTGTTGTATACAACCCATTTTTCGTTCCCAGTGATGATGCGCTTCAAAAACGGATCATTTTCGTGACGTTTGAGAAGCGAATCGCAGACGTCAATGCGGCGACACAGATTTCTCTCTGTGAGAACATGGGGAACCCATACATCGAGCTTCGAGGATAATCCCAGGCCTTTGAATTTGATAAATTTAACCTCAATCCGATCTCACGTGTTGTTATTCGCCGGTTCACATCAACTAATGCCTTTATCGCGTCTTTATCAGCTTCAACCGGCTTTCCCGAACGTGGTGCATCTTCGACATCAAAATTGCCGGATCGAAATTTAGCGAACCAGTTCTGGCACTGGCCTACTGTCAACACACCTTCTCCATACACATCAGTCAATTTCTTTCTGACTTGAACAGCATTTTTACCCTTTCTGTAGTAAAACAGTAAGATATGTCGAAAATGCTGCTTATCGCTCTCCATATTTAAAAGGGCACCAACCAAAAACTACTGCGTAGAATTAATTGGAATTTTTCACACACAAGCCTTGCTATATGAGCTCTCAAAGCATATAAAAATTTTACGGCTTAAATGTGAAGTTGGGTGCAAAAGAATACAATTAAATCCTCTGTCGGGAAAAAACGAAATGACTTTCCGAACAACCCTATAGTATATATATATATATAGCTTATATGAAACGTACACATAAACGCACATACAGGGTGTTTAAAATAACTTCTTATATTTATATATATGTGAAACGATCTACTAAAATTCATCAGATTTTACCCAAATGAAGGGGTAACAACCGAGGGACATTTTGCGGCTTCTTCTTGAGCTTTTCTTTTTGCCGATTCTTCTAATTGTTTTTTTAATCGTTTTTGAATTAGAAGTTCCCTTTTCTCTTCTTTCCGGTGTCTACGGACCGGATCTCCCTTCTTAGGATTGAGTTGGAACAACTTTTTACTCTTCCTACTGGTCTGAGAGTCCTTCGCTTTAGGGGGCGGGGCCTTTTGTTCCCCCAAAAGACTAATAAGAAAATATTCCTTTTAAACAATACCTTTCGCACTGCTCTTAGACTTACTCTGTACAATATTTTGCTTGATCCATTGCAGATTTGGACGCGAAAATAAAATCAAAACCGTTTTGTAATTTCGAACCTTGACGCTATGTCAAATTTTGTTGAATTCAAACTACAATATAATATTATATCTAAATACGTCGTCTAGTTGTTCGATGTCAAAATAAAACAAAAAATTCGGGAGAATCCTAGTCGCTTGGGTATATTATTATAAACAGTTTGCCATGTAGTTATTTGACACATTTTCCAAATTTCAGTTCTCCAAAATTCGCCGTGTTATTTATCTTAAAAAAAATTCAAATGAATTAGTAAAAATAGCCACGAAATCATACAAAAAAAAATCTGCATGTCTACAATAAATAGGTGACAACGTTACGACAATGTAAGTTTATTTTAATTTTCTTCTTTTGTGTCGGTGTGTCGTTGCTATTGTTATTGATTGAGTATTCTATTGCGTGTCCGAAAGGTCTCCAAAGAAAAAACATAGACCTCGGCCTAAACCCGTTATCTCGTATCCACCGGTAACGACAAGAAAATGGATACCGCCGGACAAGCGAAAAAAGCACCCGAAAAAGCCCCCCCAACTTCTATACGAAAAACCTCCCGGCATACACCATCCCTTGGAGTTATCGTCTCTGCTAAAAGTATGGCACAATTTTCTTTTCATTGATAACGGCGCCAGGGCCGTACTCATGGGCAGTTTCAGCCTTACCAATCGAAGGTTCAGGTTTAAATCCAATGGAAAACAGGGTAACGCATGAATGTTTTGTTTTATCGTGAGCGCCGTGTAAAGTATTGATTGTGATATTTCACAGCCAACTGTATGTGTATGGTCGCTTTGGCATTTACGAAATTGTTTGATATGTCCATATGGACGCCGGCCGTGGTGGACAAGTGTCTGGAAGTGGGCGATACTCTCTACGTGAATAGCGTTATCTCGTTGGAAACAAGAGATCCGAACAAGGGCATTCTCAAAATAACCGAAATATTGCCCCATTTCTATTTGGACGATAACAAATTAACCATGGAAGTGAAAGATGAGATGCAGGTGTCTGGAAAATTGTTCCCGGATGTGGACGACTCCCCGTACTTGAAAAATGTGATTCAAACGTTCTTTAGCAAACACGACGGGGGCATTTTGGCTACGCAAAAGAAATTCTTTGCCGTGTGGACGTCGGGTAATACTATATAGTCGATTTTTTGCCCCCTTGATTCTATTAAGGGTAATTCTTTAGGGGGAGCGTACTATCTCTTCGACCCTGACGATCACGACACCGCTGGACTTCGTTGGAAGGGCGTACCTGGTATGGGGTACTCTTTTGTAGGCCGATTCCATAATACGGATAAACTTGTCGAAATTCTACACGAGAACGTGAACAAAACCAGCAACGATCTTTTCACTATTTTTCCATGCGTGCTGCTGCGAATGAGCAGAATCGCGAGGTACCTACTTGATAATTTCCTTCGTTAATAATTGTCATTAAATTGACTTGGTGTTTAGATCTGCACCGGAAACGTTCGAAGAGGTAGTTACCGCTGACGGAGAAAGATCTAAAGCTTTGGAAGAAAAGAAAGAGGAGAAACCGAAAGGTTTTAAATTTGTTGGCAACGCTCAGGTTTAGTGTTTACATGAGGGTTTTCGTTTTAGAGAAGCACGATTTTCCGTCGGCAAGATTATACCCTGATAAAAAGTTGCCCCCTCCTCCGCCTCCGCCTCCCAGGGAGTCCGAAATTCTCAGGGAGTTGGAGGCGGAACGAGCCAGGAAGCAAAAGGAGGACGAGTTCGAGGAGTTGAACCCGGTGCTTGTGAATCTGATGACTCAAAGGGAGTCCCAAGTGGAAGCTATGCAGGCTGAAGCCGGTCCTGAAGATATGACCCTTCTCAAGTTCCAACCGCGCGAAGTACCTTCTTCACAAATGGTTAAAGACAGGCCCAGAGCTGGCAGCGTCACGTATTTCAAAAGTATGTTTCGGCCATCAAAAAATACCTTTCGACCCCTTTCGAATTTATTGTAGGTCTCATTGAGGGTGTGATGGGCATCTTACGAGGGAGAACTCATCAGTGCGACCCCAATTTTTCGAAATATTTGGGTAAACAAAGCGTTCCCAACGCGTTTGCCGCGTTAACAATGCTCCGTCTTGAAAAATCAAGACGATGGATTTGCAGAAACCTGAAGGACATCCTAGAGATGGGAGAGCATTTGTACCACGACTCCATGAAGCTTCTAACCGGCGATCAAGTATTGAGACCGTCCACCATGATAAAGAAATACCAGATGCGCGACAAAGAGTTCGCGCCAGATGTTGAAGAATTCACAGTTGTCGGCCGTTTGGGTTCAGTTAAAACCGACGTTTTCGATCTTCTTCCTGCACTCACGGAATTCTTCAGGGACAACGAGACGGGAGTTATCGTCGGCCCGTTGACTCTGGCAGTTTGGATCGAAGATGGCTACTATTACATGTTCGATCCGAACGAAAGAGATCGCAACGGGCTTGTGATTAACAGACAAGTTGTTGTTGGATCGGAGACCATGATCGTGGACGTGGAGCCCGGTGTTGCCTGCTGCACTTGGTTCAAAAATCTCAAAGATTTAGTTGACGTTTACATGAATAACATTCTCAAAAGTCAAAACAAAGATCCGTTCTACATATGCAGGGTGAACATTAACGATTACATCGGGATTCCCGATCCTTGGAGCAACTTTGAAGGTAATGAGTTTTGAGAGCGTTAGAGTGCATCGGTGTTGACGAAACGTTTCCGTAGGGATCTCCGAGGGCAAGTGGATCTTGCGCGGACACTTCAGTCAGGCTGACAGAAGATTCCCGAGGGAAACGAGAAACACCCAATGTACTGCCAACGCTGCAATGTCATTGGTATATTCTCAACTGAGAAGTATGCGCGATTGGACCAGGGATACCGTCGATGAGGTACTTGGAATGGGGAACTGTGGGTTACTGTTTCCCATTTCATAATTTTTTCTTACGCAGGTTTTGGTATCCGGTGACTCGTTGTATGTTAGCTGCGTGGAATATCTTAAAGCGAATAACAAATTTTATGACAACATGTTGATGGTTGACGAAGTACAGAGGAGATTTCAGGTAGAAGAGAGACAAATAAGTCTGGATATCGCCGACTGTCTCGTCAACGGAGTTGTCGACGCCAAGGACGACGATTGCGAAATTTTGAACCTGAAGAAGGTAAAATTGTAATCTTTGTTGCACGTTATTATAAACGTTGTGGTTTACCGTTAGGGCATTCAAGAATTCTTCAAAGAAAACGACACAGGGGTGCTAACAAGTAGAAAAATTTCGGTGGCACTTTGGAAAAATCACGGAATGTTCTATTACTATGATTCCCACGGGAGAGACGAATACGGATACACTAGTCGTAAGTCTTATAACGTCTCATTATCCTCCTCGTTTGTTCGTTCGTTTGTTGTTACTTTAGCAACAATTTAATTTAAAGCAATCGGGACTGCGTGCGTGCTTAGAATTTCGGACTTGAACGAGTTGGTGAAGATGCTCCAGAGCAACTTAGGACCTGACGTCGAATCAGCGCTGTACAACCTGAGCAGAGTCCAAGTCCAAATTTGGGAACAGACGGAAGACGGGAAGGCAAGACCTCCGTTGAAAAATTACACCGAAGTCGATCAAGAAAGTGCGATCTTGCGTGCCACGTGGCACCTGAACTCCCCGAAGTTCGGCCTCAATTCTGGCAAACAGGAAATCCCAATGCTGATGATTGCCTTCGGGATGCTCAAGGTGTACCCGCCATCCGACTGGGACAGGAATGTAATCGACGAAGTGATGGTCCTTGGGGACAAGTTATACGAAACGTCGCTGATTGCGATCCAGAAGCCACCTTCGGAAATCGCGAACGACGAAGAGGACACGGACGAAATCACCGTTGACAACGTCACCAAGGAGTTCAAGATCGGTCTCAACAAGTTCAATTTGAACGTCGGTGGTCAAGTGTTTACCGGTAGGTTCATCAATCAACTTCTCCCGGTTGCACCTTATTTCTCGTACCTGCAGGAAATTTCGAGCAATTGGGCGAAACGTTAACTTTGTTCATGACCGAGAACGTCCCGGACGAAGACCAGAGGGAATTTCTACTTATATCGCCTGCGATTTCGCTTGCCGGATGGCGCGATGACGGGGTGTACTTCATTTTTGATCCGGAAGCTAGAGATCCGTACGGGCAGGTGTACGGGAAAGACGAATGGAGCCAGAAGCCTCCCGAACCATCGATCAACGAAGAGGAAGAAGAAGAGGAGGAGGAGGAGGAAGAAGGTCAATCAGCTGCCTTAGCAATCCAGAGTATGGAAGAAGGCGAAGAGGAAATGGAAGAAGAAGAACCACCATCGTAAGTTTCGTTACGATAAGGAACGCTTGTATTTTATGAACTTTTTAAATCTTCAATTCAATTTATTGTATAATACAATCAGTCCACCTCCGAGACCGAAGCACAGCGCCCATTACTGGGAAAGCCTTTCGGAAGAATACGGGAGGGCGTGTATCATGCAGTTCAACAGTTTGGAGAAGCTGGTGCAGTTCATTGTTGAGCAGACTCCGCCGTTGCAACGAGAAGAAATCGAATACAGCATGTACACGGTGGCTGTCGACACCGAGCTGTTGGTCAAGAACGTCCTTGATCTCGAAACAACCACCGTACCAGAAGATTTGTACGCCGGCGACTGGTACAACTTTAGAGAAATCGAACACGGTCGCTGGATTCTTCGAGGTATTTCGTTAAGGTTACTACTCTGTTATCAACGATATTGATTGATCTTTTGTTTCTTTCCATTCCGAAGGAGAAATAAATCAAATGAACGAAATGTTCCCGTGCTACAATCGGGGCCAGCAGTACCTGTCCAACAGTGTCATAGCCCTGGCCTTTGCCTATCTCTACACGTACAAGAGGTACAATCAGGAAACCATCAACGGTATTTTGCGATACGGCGACAGATTGCTGACAATAAGCAGAAATATGCGCATCAAGGAACTGACGGGTAACAAGGAGCTGAATCTGACGAAGGACGAAGTTATAACGATAATAGCTCAGACGACGTTCTCGATTAACGAGATATACAACAAGTTTTGTATCCAGGAGCACATGCTATTCATGACTGCGACCGAACGTTTAATACAAGGGGAAATCACGGCGAAAGATATGGAAGAACTTTTCGACGTGAAGAAAGGTTTGGAAACGTTTTTCGAAACGGAAAAGTACGGGGTGCTAGAGGCGAAAGACACGGCTGTCGGGGTGTGGAAAGGGGAGAAGGTATATTATATGTTCGACCCTGCTTCCAGAGGTCCGAACGGTTTGGAAGCTGCCCAGGGGGAGGCTTGTATAACGAGATATTTAGACCTGGAAGTGATGACGAACGTTTTCCTTGAAAACCTTCCGAAAAAAGGAAGCAACAATTTCTTTATTCATAAAATTGAATTTACCAAAGACAGGTGCTGCATTAAGGTGCCAAAACCGGAGTCACCTCCGGCCCCCGAGCCTCCTCTTTGCACCTACACGAAACTCCTGCCCGGCAAATGGATTTTGCGCGGATCGCTGAGTCAAGATCATCCGAAGTTTTCGCGAGAACCGAATTCCATGAGTGCCCCAGTAGCCGTCATCGCTCTCACCATGACGCTCCTCCACAAATCGCAGAAATGGACCAAGCCTGTCGTGGACGAGGTGTTGTACTACGGCGACGAGTTGTTCAACGATTCGATAAACAATTTGGGCTACGACTTCAACCCTTGGAACCAGCAGATCTCGCTGCACCTGGTCAACAAGGATTACAAGATCGGGAAGCTTCAGGCGAATTGCGAATTGAGGAACACCGACCAGAGGGGCATCATTGACATTAAGGACCCCAAAATATTGAACCTTAGACAAGGTGACCCTTTCATTACGATCCCTTTTTCCCCTAATACGTTTAGTAGTAAATCTATCAAGTAAATTAGAATCATATTTTTTTTTCTTAAAAAATACCTCAAAAGCGTGTGTGTATGATCGTAATCCATAAAATAATGTGAAGGTAACGATTGTTTCCCGTGGTTTAGGCATGGAACGTTTCTTCGAGGAAAACACTCACGGTGTGATCCAAACGGAAACACTAACTGTGGCAATTTGGGAGGACGAGGATCTCGATAATGTAATCTACATGTACGACCCGAATCCGAGAGGTCCAACGGGTCTTCACGCCCTCGACGGCACGGCTTGCGTGATGAGCTTCGAGAACAAGAAGCTGGCTGCGGACCATTTCATCGCCAACATAGCGGACGACCAGAAGAGACGTGAATTCGTCATAGTTCCTGTCGAGATTGTGGTCGGCGAGATGAAGACCAAAAGGGCGAAGAAGAGGCCCTGCAAGAAACCGCCTGTGCCTCCAACACCTTGTCCCACGTCCATTCCGAAGAAGATTCCCGTGTGCAACAGGGACAGCGTGAGGAACGTGTGCGCGGACGTCACAAAGCCTCACTTTGCCGGCATGACCGTCGGGGTGGCCGACAAATTTACCACCTTCGAAGCTACCAAAGGCTATCAAGCAACCGCCGAGGTGAAACCGCCCGTCAAGGCAGCCACAGGTGGCGTGTGTCCACCTAAAACCCCGAAGAAACCGAAGAAGAAGCTAAAATCGGGCAAAGTCGAATTGGACATCATGGGCGCCACGTATCAAAGCCCTACGGAAGCCGAAAAGAAAAAGATCATGGCGATGGTATCTTACGTTCAATCTGAAGTCGAAAATCGATAGTTTGAGTGTCTTTTTTCTTTTTTTAGGCCACAGCTGAGTACAACTTCAAACTGGGAATGAAGTTGGCTAAATTGGGTCGTACAGGCTTCCTGGACCTTCCATCGGGCGATAAGCTGCTCAGAGGGATGAAGAGCCAAACCAGCAGGGGTTACAGCGTCTTCTCCCGCGGAAACCAAGACATTCCCAACTGTCTCTGCTTCCTGGTGATCTTCAAACTCACGCCGATCGCCAACTGGACCCACAAGCACATCGATCTCATCCTGGACTCGGGCGATAAACTGTACAAGGACTCCTACATCACGTACCAGCCCAAGGATCCGAAACTGGGATTGGCGAACGTCCTGCGGAAGTTCTACATCAGACAGGTGGAGGTCTATCTCGAAATCTACGAGCCGTCCGTGTCCGGACTCCTGGTGGAGGACAACCTCGAGGCTGCACTGGTGAGTTTCTTTTATCAAGAGAATTTCTGCATGCTTACGTCGCACGACCAATGGGTTGCTATTTATTTCAAGAAGGGATATTATTACATGTTCGATCCGCACGACAGAGACCTGAATGGTAACAGGGTCGAACCGGGAACGCCCTATGGTAACGCGTGCGTTATCAGGTTCGACGAGTTGCGATCTATAGCTCGGAAATATATCACTAATGTCGTACTGTGCCCGTCGGACAGTATTAAACAGTTCACTTTAGCTCTGGCAGCTATAAAGACGATCAAGCAGTCGGGAAAGGCTATGAGTGCTAAGGGTTGATTATTTATTTATTTATTAATTGGTCGATTTGGTGGTTCGTTGGGTCCAGTGGAAGCTGTTGGAGATGTCGCGGTTCCTTCTTGACGCTTGGGCCTTTTTATTTTCATATTTCGTTTGCCTGTTTACGTACATTTTTCATTCCGTTTCTTCATGCATTTTTTCTTACTCATAATTAACGATTTTGTTTCATATTTTTTTTAATCGATCTATTTAATTGCACGCTTCATACTTCGCATTCCTTTTTTGGCACTGATATCACCAATTGAACATTACATCTTTGACATTAATTTTATTCTACATTATCATTGCATTTTCGGAAATATTCATTTATCAACTATTCTCCATAACGTACGCTTCTCATTATGCAATTTACTTCAGGATTATTAACACTTTTTTCATTCATAACATTTAATCGCAAATTACTTACATCTAATGACATTTTACATATGCAATCAAATTTTTTTCTCTTAATTCGCCTTCAATTTCTTCATTTACATGCCTTTTAACAACAGACATTAAATCATAATTTTTATCACAACTTTTTACACTCGTATTTATATCATTAAAGTCGTCATGACCTTGAACATTACCCACAATGACTCCAATTTTCGATTTCCTTTAATTTGATCTCACAAATCTCGACGGTATCTCTAACCATAATTGCACACATGCATATTCGTCTCATTAATCTTAACATTTCTTTAATTAATCGCTCAGTTTATCTCATCATCTAACATCTCATAAAATCTTATCCTTAATCCTTTTCATTCATATTTAATTTCCATAAAATACACGCTCTCATTTTATTAATTTATCTCATTCAGTCATTATTCATAATCGATTATATCGCCCAAGGAAATAAAAAGGCCCAAGCAGATACTAGATTCTACGATTTTGTGTTGATTATAATTGTCACTTTTAGAAATGTAATGCAAAATATGGTGGCCATTGTTTTGTGACCCCGTTGAAATAAAATTTAGAAACCCATGACCGATGTAAATTATTTCGAGTAACTTTATTTTATCTGAAAAATGTACTTGAGTATTACACTATGGTGGTCGTATAAAATGATCTCTATTTTTGGGAAATTGTGAGGCATTCGGAAACTTTGCTTGCGCTTTTGACATTTGTTGATTCAATTTCTGATTTACCTGCCGAACGAGGAGGTTGTGGATGCATTGGAATCAGCTTTATTCGATGATTTAAACGAAACATTTATTGACCTTCAAATAAGTCTCGCAAAGTTATCTGTGTTTTCGTGTATTTGCGAGAAACATCAAATCTTCGCGTATGTTTTTGACATATATAGTAATAAGTTTAGAATCATCGAATATGGCTTCATATACCCTCATGTCTACATTTTTGAATGGTCCAAATGGAATTTAAACAGGACTACAAATAAGGTTGTTACAGGCCCTCAAAGTAAGTTCTATTTTTGCGATATTGCGAGTTACATTAAGATTTTTCTTGAGATTTTAGCACTTTTGAAAATAATTTTACAACCATTAACTAGGACCTTCTATACACTAACGCCAGTTCTATTTAATGGTTAAAACGAAATTTTCATAGGGCCACAAATAGGGTAGTTAGAAGCCCCTAAAGTTTAGCAAATTTGCCAGCAACTTTATGATTTCGCGTGCGGTTTTGCCACACATAGAAATAATTTTGCAACCATCGCATAGGGCCTTCTACACATCGATGTCTGCTCTATCCAATGGTTAAAACGAAATTTAAATACGACTGTAAATAAGGTAGTTACAACCCCCAAAAGTGAGCTCTATTTTGTCGAATTCGCGTGCAACATCATAACTTAGCGTTCGGTTTTGGCGCACATAGAAATAATTTTGCAATCATCGAATAGAGCATTTTATACATCGATGTCTGCTTTATCCAATGGTTGAAACGAAATTTAAATACGACTACAAATAAGGTAGTTACAACCCCCAAAAGTGAGCTCTATTTTGTCGAATTCGCGTGCAACATCATAATTTCGCGTGCGGTTTTGCCGCACATAGAAATATTTTTGCAACCATCGAATAGGGCCTCCTACACATCGATGTCTGCTCTATCCAATGGTTCAAACGAAATTTAAATACGACTGCAAATAAGGTAGTTACAACCCCCAAAAGTGAGCTCTATTTTGTCGAATTCGCGTGCAACATCATAATTTAGCGTGCGGTTTTGGCGCACATAGAAATAATTTTGCAACCATCGAATAGGGCCTCCTACACATCGATGTCTGCTCTATCCAATGGTTCAAACTAAATTTAAATACGACTGCAAATAAGGTAGTTACAACCCCCAAAAGTGAGCTCTATTTTGTCGAATTCGCGTGCAACATCATAATTTAGCGTGCGGTTTTGGCGCACATAGAAATAATTTTGCAACCATCGAATAGGGCCTCTTACACATTGAGGTCTGCTCTGTTGAATGGTTAAAACGAAATTTAAATACCACTGCAAATAAGGTAGTTACAGCCCCCCAAAACTGTCTTGCTTCGTTTTGAAACTTTATTAGACATGTTCGAAATAAGGTAATAAATATTAATTAACTTACTTACCTTTTTGACTTTTCTTACTGCTTTCTTTTTCTCAATTTTCTTCACCACATTTTTTTGTTTATCAATTTCTTTTATTATTTATATTAATTGTTTTTATTCATACTTACCTTCGAGTAATTTATCGATGTCTGCTCTATNAATACTGAAGTACTTTTTTTCATCTTAGATAAAAATGTATCAAAACTAATACTACTTATTAATTAAATTGGACGAACATGTAATTTATAAACAGTAATAATATCAACGACAAACAGCATTAAAAAGAAACTTATAAAGTAAGGCACATGCTTTAACAATTTCAAATAATATAAGGTAAGTTGTTGTCCCGGCTGATGGGCCATGACCCATTGAAAATGTCCACCACTGTTGTGGACGAAACGTCGGAAAAACAACCCAACACACCACGCCCCATAAGCCTGGACAACAACTTACCTGGTGGTCGTGAAAGCCTACAATCAACAATTTCAAATAAATCCACTCAAAAGTCTCTGAAATTATCATATTATGTAAAATACACTTCTAATAATAATAATAATAGCCTAATTAAAGTATCTTAATTAACAAAGAGATTAATTGCTTGAGATTTCGTTTTAGACAATTACAGTGCGTATTTACAAACAAAATTTAAACTATTTTATTTAAGTACGTGCATTGATAGTTCAAATTTAACTTTGTCATTTTCATTAAAAAAAATAATTCCTCGGAGGGCATAGGACGTATCACAATTTAGGAGGTAGCTTTAGGGGCAGTTTCTTTATCTGATTTAATCTTTTCTTCGTTCTCTTTTTGCGCGTAAACAATTTCAGCATATTCGGTTTTGTCTTCTTCATTTTTCACCACTGGTCTTAGGTTTTGACTGACCAAGTCCAATTCTGCGTACACCAGGCCACCCTCTTTGCCGTCATTGGGGGTGGTAGTCGCAGTCACTGGAGCTGTTTGAGTCTCGGACTCATCGATAGGTATCTTGGTTTCGTCGGTAGGCGGTGGACTGCTTTCTTTCTGGTCCTTGTCCTCTTTTTCTTTGTTCTTTTTAAACAAGGGTGGAATTTGAATTTTTAGGGCTGGCAGGATTCGTTTCTGTTCTCGCTGTCTTACTTCGACGCTTTCCGTATCACTACTGAAATATAAAAGAAAAATTACTTAATGTTTTTCTTCATTTTCTTTCATATTGTTTAACAAATTCGTTGAAAAATTTTGGGAATCTCTAACACAATTCATATCCACAGGAACAACACATCGCTTATGAGGCAGGATACAATAGGGGGTGAAGGGAGACAGGGAACACAACCCAACACCGAGAGATACATAACGAAACAAGACAACACCAACCAGACACAGGGGGATACCCAACAAAGGGAGATAATTAACATAACACCGCACCGAGAAAGGACAACACCCCCGATGCAACACAGGGGGACACACGACGATACAGGATCTAGTACAAGGGTAATTATATACCCCACGTTCTTTTTTCATCCCACAACTAAAATGCAAAATACCATTCTTTAATCATTTCCTTCCTTTTTCTAGATTAAACATTTTCATAAAAACTTTCCTTAATACTTTTAGACCCACAAATTTCCCTAAAGACTTTTCCAGTATTCATTCATTATTCCTTTTCAAATTTAAACCCTTCCAGTATCTTCCCATGAATTTATTATTCCTTATGATATTTGAATCCTTCCAGTATCTTCCCATAAATTAATTATTCCTTTTTATTTAATCCCTTCCAACATCTTTCTATTAATTCATTAATCCTTTCGATATTTTAACCCTTCCAGTATCATCCCATAAATTAATTGTTACTTTTCATATTTAAACCCTTCCAACCCATCAACTCATTATTCCTTTTCATATTTAAACCCGAAAATCCCCCTTTCCTTTTACTTTAGTTTCTCTTTTTAACTGTAAACCTTCTTAAAATTCCTCGTTTTCTCTCTCTTTTCGTTTTAAACTTGAAAATTGCCTTTACCTTTTCCTATCTAATATTTTTAAACATTCCTTTCACCATTATAACAAATACATTTTTTCTTATTACTTTTAAATCCAAAAATTTCATTAAATACTTTTCCAGTACTTATCTTCTGACAAACTCATTATTCCACTCCCTCCATATTTAAATTTGAAAATTATCCCTTCTTTTGCAATTTATCTTTTCCTTTCGACTATAAACCTTGAACTTTCCCTNGAAATAGTACATAGTAATCGAAATTAGCAATAGTGAAATATAAAATGTGTAATACTGAAGTACTTTTTTTCATCTTAGATAAAAATGTATCAAAACTAATACTACTTATTAATTAAATTGGACGAACATGTAATTTATAAACAGTAATAATATCAACGACAAACAGCATTAAAAAGAAACTTATAAAGTAAGGCACATGCTTTAACAATTTCAAATAATATAAGGTAAGTTGTTGTCCCGGCTGATGGGCCATGACCCATTGAAAATGTCCACCACTGTTGTGGACGAAACGTCGGAAAAACAACCCAACACACCACGCCCCATAAGCCTGGACAACAACTTACCTGGTGGTCGTGAAAGCCTACAATCAACAATTTCAAATAAATCCACTCAAAAGTCTCTGAAATTATCATATTATGTAAAATACACTTCTAATAATAATAATAATAGCCTAATTAAAGTATCTTAATTAACAAAGAGATTAATTGCTTGAGATTTCGTTTTAGACAATTACAGTGCGTATTTACAAACAAAATTTAAACTATTTTATTTAAGTACGTGCATTGATAGTTCAAATTTAACTTTGTCATTTTCATTAAAAAAAATAATTCCTCGGAGGGCATAGGACGTATCACAATTTAGGAGGTAGCTTTAGGGGCAGTTTCTTTATCTGATTTAATCTTTTCTTCGTTCTCTTTTTGCGCGTAAACAATTTCAGCATATTCGGTTTTGTCTTCTTCATTTTTCACCACTGGTCTTAGGTTTTGACTGACCAAGTCCAATTCTGCGTACACCAGGCCACCCTCTTTGCCGTCATTGGGGGTGGTAGTCGCAGTCACTGGAGCTGTTTGAGTCTCGGACTCATCGATAGGTATCTTGGTTTCGTCGGTAGGCGGTGGACTGCTTTCTTTCTGGTCCTTGTCCTCTTTTTCTTTGTTCTTTTTAAACAAGGGTGGAATTTGAATTTTTAGGGCTGGCAGGATTCGTTTCTGTTCTCGCTGTCTTACTTCGACGCTTTCCGTATCACTACTGAAATATAAAAGAAAAATTACTTAATGTTTTTCTTCATTTTCTTTCATATTGTTTAACAAATTCGTTGAAAAATTTTGGGAATCTCTAACACAATTCATATCCACAGGAACAACACATCGCTTATGAGGCAGGATACAATAGGGGGTGAAGGGAGACAGGGAACACAACCCAACACAGAGAGATACATAACGAAACAAGACAACACCAACC